TAGTTGTGTTTTTACCTGATTATCTGTATGTGCATTCGTTATGTTTTATGTCGACATATTATGTGGGTTGGGTTAAGGTTATACTACTCTGTGCGGTAGCCAACAAACCATAGAGTATTCCAGATATGAGATGAGGGCCGGGCGGGGCATGCCAGACTCATACTAAGGACTCGGAAGCATTCCAGATACTAGCTGAGGGTCAGGTAGGGCATGCCAGACTCGTACCGTGGGCTCGGGAGCATTCCAGATACAAGCTGAGGGCTGGGGATAGCATACCAGACTCGTACTGTGGGCTCGGAGGCAATCCAGATGTGAGTTGTGAGCCCAGGAAGGTAATCTAGACATACACTGTGGGTCAAGGGTAATCCAGTCTGTAAGCTGTAGACCCAGTACATGCTGTTATTTGTATATGTTTTATTTATAGTGTGTCGGTATTTGAGGGGACTTACTAAGCTTTGGGCTTACAGTTTCAGTTTTTGTTTCAGGTACATGAGACGATCGCAGGAAGGTAAAGGTGTGATCGAACAACTCCTCATGTTTAAGACTTGTTTCTGGGATACTCTGATATTATACTATTTTGAAAACAAGTTTTGTAATGATTGATGGTTTTGAAATGTTTTGAAAAAGTTTAAATTTGGTATGATTTTTACGGATGTTACAGCTTGCTTGCTTATGAGGTGAGTCTTCTCGCTATACTTACCTAAAGTGGTAATCTTTGTGTGACCGGAGGGTCTTAAGTGCTTATATTGAGTATTGTGATATCCTGCATTAGGTCTTTGTGATTTATGCTATGTATTATTCTGAGCTTACTGAGTTAGGACCGAAGGGTCCACCCGAGTTATGCGACTGGAGGGTCCCACTGAGACACATTGACCGAAGGGTCTTATTTGAGCATAGCCATGAGAGGCTAATGAGATATGTGTGGTAGTTTGGGGAAACTCACTAAGCTTCGTGCTTACTGTGTTATATGTTATATGTTTTAGGTACTTCTCAGAATCACAGGAAGACACCCGCTTGATTGTACACACACGAGTTGGAGATATGTTTTGGAGGATCCTGGATTATATCATGAACAATTTTTGAACATGTGTTTTTGATAACTTCATAATTTTTGGGATTTTTGTGATTATGCTAATGAGATTAATGTAATTTTAAATGAAAATTTTGTTTGAAAATTTACGGTGTTACAAAAAGTTTAAGCTCCTCATAGTTAAGTTTTTCCCACCTTCTTGGATCACATATATCAACAAGCTCTATAATAGACTTTTGCTTTTTTGTCTCTTCTATTTCTACTTCTACATTTTCTTGGTGTTCAACATGCTCTTCAACAGGATTTTCAACAAGCTGTTTATGGATAAACTTATCTAAAGCACCAACGTCGGCATTTCTCTTTTCTTCATCGAGTTTTCTATTTTTACGTTTTTGACTACCAGATGGTTGTTTAGACTTCATCATTACAAGTTTATTACTTTTAACTTTCAATATTTAACTAAATACAAAAAACATAATCTGATAATTTGATTTCAAAATCTAATAATCTATTATAATGATATAATTTGATTCAACATTTAGTTAGAATTCGGATTTTCAACATGAAGCCATTCAATCAGACTTCAATATGAAATTTAATAGAATTTCAACATTCAGTCAAATAAACAATTTCAGATTTCCGATAATAATCACAATTTCAACATTCAATAGAATTTCAACATGCAATCATATAATCAGATTTCTGATTTCAACATTCAATTAGTCAATCAAATAAATAACATTCAATTTTAACCAAATTATAGTAAACTAATTAACCGGTAATGATTCAACACTTCAAGTTCAATATTCTGCTTTGTATTACTGGTTTCTATAATGATTCAAGTTTAATTGTTCATCATCCAATTATAAACTAATAAAGCTATTAATATGAATAATCAATTACCTAATATGAACGACCAATGCTTCTCTTTTGTTGCCTGTTAGACTATTGCGATTAGATAATATGCGCTTATTGATTGCCTGATAAAAATTGATAATCGACGATGGTTGATGAATGCTTCTCTTCGCTGAACCTATTGTTCTGCTTGTGGACTAAGGATTAGGAACTACCAAGATTTGGGCTACTTTTACATGAGAATTTCGGTTGCATCCGAAAATATACGACAAAAATGTCAGTTGCATTTGAAAATATACTACAAAAAATTTAGGCTTTTACTAAAAATATACATTGTATTTAATGCAAAGGTTGAATTAAATGACTGTAAGGGTTTCCGCTAATGCGGTATGAACCATATTAGTGGTAAGAAGGTTATTTTTTTGGTTTATCATTAGTTGAAACCCGTTTTACTAGTATAAGTTCTATTGAAAAAACCCCATAAAGGAGGGCTTTAGACATTTACTAGTTCCACTTGATAAAAATAAGACATGGAGAGAGGGGAAGGTTGTTTGTTAGCAATGAGTTTTTTTATTAAAAAACCAACATCGACATTTAGCTTTAGATCTCCGTCTTTAATCTTTTAATTATAGATAAAGAGAACCGGATAGAAATTTCATTTAGATTGATCTTAGTACTAGAAGGTACTCCCAGAGGAACTAAAAGACTGATCAAATTCAACAAAATCGGGAAAAACGTAAATAATGGATTCAATGTCTTCCTCTAGGAAACTACATTTCATGACAGAAGCTATTTATAACGTTTATCGACTATCTTCATACATACCTATCTCTTAGTCATAACAATCCCATTGTTCATATTTCTCCCACTTGCCATTGTAGCCATCACTTTTTGTTGTTGTATTCATGTACCAAAGATCTCGTTAGTTCTATGCTACTGTCGAAGAACAATGATTATTTGGATCTGATTTTGGATTGCTAACATTGGCATGTTAGAAGAAGGAGGTGTTGAAAGACTCATAATTAACTAACAATAAAATTTTGTGAGAAAAAAAATATGATACATGATAATATAGTCATTTTATTTGGATATCGGCCAAAATCGTTATAGAACATTAATTTTTTAACAAAAATTGGAAAAGAAAACATTTTAGGACCAAAAATTTAGGAAGCAACTATACTTGGGGACCTAATGTAATTTACTCATAATTAAATAGATACCTTTTAACTAAATGTTCTGCCCATGTTCGTAAAATTATGATAAATTTCATGTTGCGTCATTAATGCCTATTATTTCTCTTATAAATGTTATGGTGTACTTGTTTAAGCTAAAATCTTGAAGGTTTATGTGAGGCTCACTATAGAGCGACAAGACGAAGCTTAACCACAAAATGTCGTAAGGACAAACATTAAACAAATAGGTTGTTGGTGATTTTTTAAACAAATAGGTTGTTGGTGATTTTAGTGTCACTAGATCATTTTGTATAATTGAAACTTACATGTGAGTTAAGGAGCCTTGTAATTTGTACTCTAATATATGTATGGGTGTGTGTGGAGTGCACACATGTATAAGATCAAACTAAAAGCCGGTTCGACGACACGTTGGGGCAGGGGGTGCCCCTTTGGAAACCATTGATTTCATCATTAATTTCAGATTCCCTTTACTTGTTTCTAAAGAAACCCATGACGACTAACCCTAGGATGAAACCCTACATCTCGTTTCTTATATAAACAACTCTTCTCTTGAGGGGAAACCATGGCACCTTTTTAACTCTCGTTTTCTTCATACAAACTCATAATCTTCTAGCAAATTGGCTTACGTTTTCTATGTCTAGAGTTGTAAGTATTGCCTTGGGATTATCCTAGACTGAGTTTCTTATAACCCGAACATATAGTAGAAATATCAGTTTTGAAAATGTTTACACGGTATCCAAATCTCCACTGTAAACCCTACCCAATTTCTAACATAAGCGAAGTCCAAACAGTGCCCACCAAAGACCTTATTAAGTACTACCTAAAGCCCAAGGCACCAAAACACTTAACCACCTAATACCAAGGAACCAATGAGATTTTCAACTGTTGATATTTGAAAAACTATCTAAGGATAAAACAAGATCCTCCCACCTGATGGTATGATTTTGTTAAATATTATTAAAAACTAACGAAAACTAGTAAAAAAGAGAATATATTACATTAGTGTGAAAGCCAAATAAAGATCACATAACTATCTAACTAACTCCCATCTAGTCTTATGTATAGACTAGAAATTAAAAAAAGAGATAGTAACAATAGACTCAAACAACAAATTTATCCTCCACATGAGTAATTTCACATTGATTTACCAAATCAAACCACAAAATCCTTGACATTCATCTAACAACATGCTATGAAGATCATAATTAAACATTATTCTATAGAAATGCTATAAGTACTAATTTCACATCAACAAAGCTCCTAATTCAAATTTAAATCATACATACATTTGTTTTTACATTCTGATATGAGTTAGGTGTTGTTTGTTTTTTCGAAATTAAAATGTTGAAGTCTGCGGACCACCTCTGCAACCATCTGTAACAGAAGATGTAGACCAAACGGCTGCAACATTTAATAAAAAATTTGTTTGTTTTTTAACGTTTGCAGACTGCTGTAGTAAGTTAAAGTAATATGTGAAGATGTTTGAAGTGGATGATCTAGTGTTGTGCCACACAACATACGCACAACAATTTTTAAGTCAGAAGTCTTTTAAAAAACAAACAACTGCGAATGACCAAATGCTGCACGGTGTAGCAATAAGTTGTCAGAAGAGGTTTTTTTAGAAAAAACAAACAACACCTTAAAAAATTACCTATCGGAGTTGTTCGAAGACATCTCTCTCGGAAAATGGTAATGTTTGTTTTTATCTTGTAGGTTGACTAATTGGATATGATGTTTTGACTACGACATAAATCATGTTCACTAGTTAAGGCGTGTCTAAAATCTAAAATCTATCAACATTCCAATTTGAATGTCTTATTATTAAGCATCCGGGTTATTTTAGGTACTTTACTTATTAATCAATGATTTTCAATTTCATTACCTAAATTGAAAGTAAACATTATTAGTTATAAATTATACGTATGACTTTATGTAAGTAAGACATCAAAATTAGAGTTTAAAGACGTTAACGGGGGGGTCCTCGAAGAACTATTCAAAGTTTGCTATTTTATGAATTATTAATTATTCAAAAAACGGTTGTTTTGATTAGTCGACGCTGACATTTTGGCGTGTGCAAGTCGCAATCATCCATCGTCTGCTGATCTTGAAGTTTATTTCAAGCAAAACGCCCAAATTTAATATTACTAAACAAAATCAAGAATATTTCCCACTTTTTACCTGACAGTATTCGACACTTGTAGCGCAGTGATTTTGTCACTAGCGTTTTGGATTTTGAGATCTTCCTTCAATGAAACCGCGTTTATACAGTTGATGATTCGAGGAAACTCTTGAAGTCGTCAAATACAAGGGGAAAAGGTAAGATGTCATCTGTTGATTTTGTGGTCGAGATGCTTAAATCTAGTAATAACTCTTCTAGATTCATCTGGGGTTTTTCTCCTGTTGCTTTGATTGTACTGAGATAGATTAATTGCACCGAAGGTGTTTGATGATTTGTCTCTGAGAATGTATTTTGCGTTCAAGACTTAAAGTGATGAACTTGAGACCTAGAGAGTTCAACATTTTGGGATTTGAGCGGATTTATGTATGAGAAATTTGTTGATTACAGAGATTAGATTGTCTATTGTTGCTTGCTTTCGTGTTGTATTTGATTTTGATATTATGAATGGCAAGCTTATCACCGTCGCCAAACTCTCCACCAGTCACCGTTACTCCATTGACGCCGCCAGCACCTAACTCTAGTCCACCGTCTACTTCATCCCCACCGTCTCAATCGCCTCCTCCTACACCAACCACCCAATCCCCACCTCCTTCAACGTCATCCCCTCCTCCATCATCACCACCGCCGACATCACCTCCTCCGCCAGTTATTTCCCCACCTCCATCAACACCGCCGACCATGTCTGCGCCTCCACCTGTTTCAACCAGTCCACCGCCATCCTCACCTACTCCACCGACCAATTCTTCACCTCCACCTGCCTCTCCTCTACCTCCGGCAGCCTCTCCTCCACCTCCAGCAACCTCTCCTCCACCAACCAATCCTCCACCTTCAACAACTTCTCCTCCACCTCCAGCAACCTCTCCTCCACCTTCAACAACCTCTCCTCCACCTCCAGCAACCTCTCCTCCACCGACCAATCCTCCACCTTCAACAACCTCTCCTCCACCAACCAATCCTCCACCTTCAACAACCTCTCCTCCACCTCCAGCAATCTCTCCTCCACCGACCAATCCACCACCTTCAACAACCTCTCCTCCACCGACCAGGTCTCCACCTCCATCACCACCTAGTCCCCCATCTAGGTCACCACCACCACCACGTACACCTTCCACTAGATCCCCACCCTCACCCTCACCCCCACCACCACGTACACCTTCCACTAGATCCCCACCCTCACCCTCACCCCCACCACCAACTACTTCACCTCCGTTGCCATCTTCTACTCCACCACCAAGGTCACCTCCACCATCATCTTCCAGTCAACCACCACCAGCATCCTCATCCCCACCACCAACAACTACACGTCCACCACCACGTACTCCCCCATCCTCTGAACCTCCTACAAATTCACCACCACCACCACCAGTAACAACCACCCCACCACCACCACCAAACACACCCTCCCCTCCTCCTTCACCACCATCACCTTCAACAATCCTCCCCTCTCCTCCAGGAACCCCAAGCAACAACGATTCAAGTCCCAACACCCCATCCAACAACGGAGGCATTAGCACCGGGGGTATAATTGGTATTTCAGCAGTTCTAGCCCTTGTCCTCCTCACAGTCATCATAACAGTCTCATGCTGTATTATCAAACGAAAGAAAAAAATTTCCAGACACAATGACCTCTACAATCTCCCAACCTCAACAACCAATTCACCTAAATCAGGTACTACATTACATTCTTAAAATATATATACGAATTTGAAAAAATATTTATAATTTATAATGACAGATTCAGGTCTACTAAAGATCCACACATCAGAAAACGGAAACCAATCTGCAAACCAATTCATATACACTCCACCAGACACAGGTGGATTAACAAACTCAAGACCAAAGTTCACATACCAAGATCTTTTCAATGCAACAAATGGATTTTCGATTGAGAATCTTTTAGGGTCAGGTGGATTTGGTTATGTATACAAAGGGTGTTTGGTTGATGGGACTGAAGTAGCAGTTAAGGAGTTAAAAATTGGAGGTGGACAAGGGGAACGTGAGTTCACTGCTGAGGTGGAAATTATTGGTCGAATACATCATCGTTATTTAGTCTCACTTGTTGGATATTGTGTCTCTGAAAACAACAGATTGCTTGTTTACGAATATGTCCCTAACAACACACTTTATTTTCATCTTCATGGTATATTTTCCTTCATCTAATTATCCACATACATTTTCTCACTTATTTAGTTAAGTTCTGAATTAATCACTTTTGTAGGGTCAGAGGTGGTTTTAGATTGGTCAACTCGTGTGAAGGTTGCATCTGGTGCAGCAAGGGGTATTGCTTATCTGCATGAAGATTGTAAGTAAACAAATTTTTTTTTTTCTTTTTTTTTGTTATATTTTTTTATACGTTAAAATTCAATCTTATATTGTTGTACAGGTCATCCACGAATTATTCATCGAGACATCAAATCATCAAATATTCTACTAGATAAAAACTTTGAAGCTAGGGTACATCTTTTTCTTTTCAATTTTTTTTATCTACTTTTGTTTTCAACAATCGGTTATTTATTTATTTATTTCTTTTAAAAATTCCTTACTTGACAGGTTTCTGATTTCGGGCTAGCGAAATTAGCTGCAGATTTAGGTACTCATATAACAACACGCGTTATGGGAACTTTCGGGTATGCATTTAGCCATTTAGTTCAATTAAACTGTTCAACTACTTGTCAAAAGGGCAAAATGGTAATTTTGGTTAAATAAATTCCAGATACATGGCACCCGAATACGCATCAAGTGGGAAATTAACCGAGAAATCTGACGTGTATTCCTTTGGGGTTGTTCTCTTGGAGCTAATCACAGGGCGAAAACCCGTAGATGCATCTCAACCTTTAGGAGACGAAAGTCTCGTTGAATGGGTAAATAAACATTTGATAATTTATTTATTTATTTATTTTTTAACTTTTTATATATTACTAATATTCATAAGTTTTACAGGCTCGACCTTTGCTTAGTCATGCACTTGAAACCGAAGACTTTGAAGTATTAGTAGACCCAAAGCTTGGAACAAACTATGTTGCAAAAGAGATGTTTCACATGATTGAAGCTGCAGCTGCATGTGTACGACACTCTGCTGCAAAAAGACCACGCATGGGACAAGTAATACACAAATAAATGAAACCCCATTAATTACTATTTTTATATAAATTAAAAAAATGAAAAATCATTTAAATTTTCTCAGATAGTGAGAGCATTCGAGAGCATGGAAACTGAAGATCTAAGCAACGGAATGCGAGTTGGAGAAAGTGAAATATTTAACTCTGCACAACAATCCGCAGAGATAAGACTTTTTAACAGAATGGCATTTGGAAGTCAAAATTACAGCACAGATTTTTTTACTCAAGGTAGTGTTGGCCCTAATGGTAGTAACGAAAGGTAAAAAGTAAAAACTGAGACTTTTTTTTTTTTTATACTTTTCAATTTTCACCAGCCATGGTTAGGGTTCTGTATGTAGGCTCCATAGTCAAGATAGTGTATAGTATGCTTATTTATTTCTTTTTAAAGCTGCACATTCTTGAGTCCTGTAAGTAAACATGTGTAGGGTTACTTTACCCTGATCCCATTCTTTTCGTTAATTTATTATAAGTGCAGTTTTTTTCTTTAATAGCATTTGTATTTTTTTTTATCATTTTATTGCTTTAGTGACTTAACAGTTTTGATGTAATTATTAAGAGGTTATAATTTTGTTAGCGGTTTTAATATCAGGGAAAACTATATAAAAAAACGTACTTTTACCTTATTGATTTATAGAACAATTTTTTTATGACGTGTACTTTTAAATCTACTTTTTATTGACTAGGCTTCCCAAGTACAAACTATGTATTTTGAAATGTATTTATGACAAATTATCAAGTGATGATGTTTAAGAATGTTGTTGATTTTATAAGGCAACAATGTTTGTAGTGGTTTGCTTATTGATTATGTTATGATATTTTAGTAGATATTCCTTTTGTAACGTTTTTCTAAACTTTGGTCAATTTGTAGAACATTGGGACTTTATTTTCCACGAGCGTCTTTAATGTTTTGAAAATACATTTTAAACTGTTCAAAAAAAAAAAAACATATATATTTTTAATGTTATTTCGCTGCCATTTGTTCATGTGGATAGTGGTTGTTTTTGGGGAAATGAAGATTTGGTGGGTACCTAAAATTTGAGAATGAATAACTCCACATGTAAGTCCAAGTTGAATAATTTTAAGTAAATAAATTCAAATTATATGTTAATAAAACAAAATAATCCATAAAAAGGGGGACAAGATCCGCCCTAAAATCAACCAAAATCGGGAGGTAACCCACCAATGGAAGCAACGAAACAAAGGCTATCAAACTATTCCATTCACACAACTACATGTTTGCTTACACTCTACTCTTTGTTTCCACCATTTTTAACACCATCTTCCAAGAAAAGAGAGAACCCATTTTCATCAAAAAGCAATGACTCCATTTCTTCCATTTCTTTTTTCCTCTTCCCCTTCCTTCATTTTCAAACCATGGAACAACAAGATTGGAACATGATTGGTGCTGATTGTCTTGTCTTATCTTGTTGTTGTCAATGCTTGATGCTACAACTTCTAGTTTTCTTCTTGCTAAAGCTTCCCACCAAATTGCTCAAGAGAACAATACGATACATCAAGAGAAAGTTTGCGGACCAAATGCGTCATGGTGGGAAAGTAGTGGGGGTGAAAGTGGCACGTTGCGCAAAAGAAGTTGTCGGGTGTCAGAAACCAAGAGACTTGATGATGAAAGGTCGAGTTGATCAAGTTGAGAGTTCTCGAATCGATGGGTGTATGGAGGAGGTTGAAGAGGTGTTGGAGGAGTTCTCTAGAAATGGTGAGTTTGGATTTGGGAGTTTTTGGAAAGGTAATAATGATGTTGAAGTTTATTTTCCAATTTGTCTTGTAAAACAAGAACTTGGGTGTCATGATCATGTTTTTGGCTCTTTTAGGGTGCATTAATATGTTGATTTGATTATTACATGTAGTATCTTAACTTAATGGTTTTAGACTCATTACTCATTACTAACATGATATATGTAAATCGACTAGTTAAGTTTAAAATAGTATGCTTTTTACAATCCATGATTAGCATATTTATGATTATTTATTTAAAACTATACATTTTTGTTAAAAAAAAATTGTAGTGTTGATTAATAGATGGTAAAAAGATTATACAAACATGAAATCTATACATAAGCGAAGTTTTGCATTTTTTGAACATTTTTTATATCATTTTAAGTTGTTAATGAGATTTTTTAATAATAATAGTTACTATAAATAATGCATATTTTACATTTTGTGATTGTAAATTGTAATAAATTAGATTAATAAACTGAAATGATGTAAAGAAAGTTTGCTACATGTACTATTTTTACTATTATTAAAATAACCTGATCCTTATTTCCAAGTCCCAACTATCCATCTTGTCCCCAACGGGTCAACCCGGGTCCTACCTACCCGACCCATCAAACTTTACTAATTTACAACTTTTACCCAACCTCAAACTTTTGCAGCAAATTTGCTTATGTATACAAAAATGCCCCCTTTTTCTTATAACTTTGTTTTTGTGTAATTTTTTTTTAACTTACTCTTTTTACAAAAAAGATTTACAGCTTCATTTAAAGTATTTTTTACAACTTTGTTTTTACGGAATCGTATATTTAACAAGTTATTTTCTACAACCTTTTTTACAACTTCGGTTTTATGCATGGTTATATATGAATTTCTTTGACTTTACAAATTGTTAGAAACTTATTTTCTAATTTTTTTATATACTTGTTTTCATGCATGTAAGATTTCAAAGACATAAAAAAACATTTTTTTAAATATACGTTTTCACAATCCAAAAGGATATACACAATTTTCCATAGCATCACAAATTGCTAACTCTAGTTATTTACTATTGTGTATTAACTGAACATTTTACTACTATTTACTATTGTGTATGGGTTAAAGGAAGTTTGTATTTAACATAACTATTATTTTTTACTTTTGTAAAAATTTAGCGTTATTTAGTATATATTGTGTCTCTGAGATATTGTCTATTAGTGTGTCTAGGCTCAAAGGAAATTTGTATTTAACAAGATTATACCGGTAAAATAAGCTTTAACGATATTTTATGTATATTTTAAACAATGTTTGTAAGTCATTATCCTTCCAAACATTAAAATGAAAAGAAAAAAAAAAAGACTTGAATGAGTAGTATAAAATATTTTATTGACAATTCATGATATTAATCCTTTTATATATGCATTACAAATATTTTAATTATGATAAGTCTAAGGATTAAAAGTGAATTTCATTTATAACAACATACTAACCAAGTTGACGATAAAACAGTCACAATTCAAACCGAAGAATTAAAAGGCCAATACATTTATTTGGTATACTTTGTTCTTATTTCCAATAAAATAAATTATCTAATAGCCCAAGTGAATATGTTACAGCACAAAGGCTTAAAAAAAATAACTTAGTGTCGTGTTTAGAATTATTAGAGTCCTATCGCAAAACCACGTCTAAAGTGAAGCATAAAAAATGACCAGCAAAAGCCCATTTCCTAGAAGCCCAACCATAATGGCCCGCCTTTTTTACTGTAATGTTCGCCCTTTTCACGGTAGCCCTATGTTGGCCAAATAGTAGCCCTAGGTTGAAGCAATATTACCACCCGAAATGAAAAAAAAAAAAAAAAAAAGTACTAATAAAAACCGAAGTGGAGCCGGTCTAAAATGAGACCGCATCGAAAATACTAGAACGGTCTGATACTGTCCAACTCGAAAAAAGAATTGACTATTTCGAAACCGGTCCAAGACTTACACGAGATTGATCTCAGAAAAGACCGGAATAAAAAATTTATATACAAATAATTATTTTGTTAATTATATATTTGTTAATCACACATCACCAAACTTCTTCCTTCATTCTTTAATTAAATAACTACTGTACCATTTTTATTAAACTTTAATGTATCATTTGGTGTTAATCACACGGAAAAACTTGAACCCAAAAACAAAAATCCAAAAAAAAAAAAAAAACAGAAACAAAACCGAAAAAAGCAAACGCAGATACTGTGGGATCGATTCCAAAAAGACTGGATCAAAAAGGGTCGATCTAATAAAATTGAACTGTTCCGAGATCAATCCGAGACCATTCTAGTATTGCCAATATGTATATCTAATTGTACGTTTGGGGAATTCAAGTATAAAATCGGTATTTTGAGCCTAAATTTTTAATTCTTTAATACAATTCAGATTATATATATATATATATATATATATATATATATATATATATATATATATATATATATATATATATATATATATATAACGATGTAAAATTTTCAAAACAAATTTTTCTCATTTTAAACACAAAATATCTCAAATCATCATTCTCAAAATCACAAGTGTCTCAAATGTCAATAATAAAACATAAATCCCAGAATCATAAAACAACTCCTCGCCAGTGTGTATAATCACGTCGGTGTCTTGACGCGATCCTCATAACTACCTGAAACACATAACACATAACATGGTAAGCGCACAACTTAGTGAATTCCTCAAAATATCACACACAACTCATTAGCCACTCGAGGCTATTGCTCAATGAGACCCTCCGGTCAATGTGTCTCAGTGGGTCCTTTCGGTCCCACAACTCAGATGGACCCTCCGGTCCCTCAACTCATCATCTTAATATAATACACAGAAAGCATAACACAAGCAAATAACAGGATATCTCATTACACAGATCATACACATAAGACCCTCTGGTCACACAAAAATTACCACTCAAGGTAAGTATAGTGAGAAGACTCACCTCGTAAGCTAATGGATGAAAATCTCGCACTCAGTATCTCGATCTCTACCTACTGGTCTAGCCTCCGCCTAACACATAATAATTATCCCTAATTAATATTGGCCCTCAAGAAGCTAGACTAACCCTTCTTCAACTCACAAAAGGGTAAAAGACCATTTTACCCCTCCAAGGCTTAATAGTCCTCAATCTTGACCAAACCCTAAAAGTCAACAAAAGTCAACAACAGGGAGTACGTTGCGCGTTCCAACTCACTACGCTAGGCGTACTCGGCTGCTTACAGAATCGGGGTTGCTCGACCCCTACGCTGCGTGTACTGGGGTTATGCCCAGCGTATGCCCTAGTTTCACTCTTCTCACATTTTTGGTCTTAATCAGTTAAGACATAAGCTCATATCTCAGATCTAGACCTTCTAATGCCTCTTAGTCCATAAAGTCATTGACTTTAAGCCTTTGCATGGCTGGAAAGTCACCATCCTCCAAAAATACACACTCTTTTGTCCCAAAGGTCTCATAACTCATGCATGGAATGATTTCACCAACCAAGATTGGATTTTATGGCATCACACTACTCATACACTCAAAAGGGGTTGGTCCTAGACTCTGGAGTTCAAGATCTCATCAAGATTCCACCTTTATGGGACAAAACCCTAAAATTCTCAAAACAACATGCTCATAAGAAGGAAAGGCAAATTCTGAAACTTTATACTTCAAAGAGAAGCTTCACACCCAGATTTGCTCAGATCTAGAAGCTTGGACTCCAACTCTCCTTCTTCAAGGTCTTCTCTTCTCTTCAAAACCACACAAACACTCCTTCAAAGATCAAACATACACACACAAGCTTTAGAATGGAGATTAGGGCACTCTTAGGGTTTTCTCTCTGGAAATGGTGGCCAGAAATGAGGCCATCATGTTCCTTATATAGGGGACTCACCCTAATTTAGGGTTGAATCTTGGGCCTAGTACGCCCAGTGTATTGGGTGGTTTCTGTGTTGC